CAGAGGTCGATGCTGATCGGGTGTGTGGTATATTGATGGCGAAGTCAGCTGCTGTGCGAGAAGCTTCGTGAAGTCGTGGCATGAAGTCGGCCGTTCAGAACAATACAGTCTAGTCTCCTCTAGCCCTAGCGTTATCTGATTTGGCTATACGTCACCGGCATCGGGCGGCGAAAAGCACTACTCAACAAGCCTCAAGCCTCAACTCCAAAATTAAGTGCAGCAATTAACTGCCCAATCCACCGTGTATATTGCTGCCCTCTCCACTCTCACGCCTCCCAATTAATATATCGACGAGGTCACGCCTTGAACCTCGCCATCATCATGTCGCTAGAGACCATCACGACTATCTCCCCCATCACAAACAAGCCAATCCTGACGCGTAACGGCCTCTCAGATGCTGATCTCCAGTCAATCCCCGAGACTGCCACGCGCGCGTTCGAGATATACCGCCGTACCGACCTCGCGGAGAGGCAAGCCATCGTAAAGAAAGCCTTGGAGCTCCTCAAAGAGCGCCAGGATGTCTTGGGCAAAGAGCTGACTGAGCAGATGGGCCGTCCCATCGCGTACACCCCAAAGGAGGTCACTACGGCTGTTGCTCGTGGCGAGTACCTGGTCAAGATTAGCGGAGATGTCCTCAAGGACTCCGCGGGGGAGCCCGAAAAGGGCTTCACGCGCTATATCAAAAAGGTCCCCTTGGGGCCTGTATTGATTCTATTTCCGTGGAATGTTCGTGTGGCAAGCAACTATATTCAAAGTCCTCACGTGCTGATATATGCTGCAGTACCCGTATCTTACCCTTGTAAATTCGATAGTGCCAGCCTTGCTCGCCGGGAATTCAGTAATCCTGAAGCCATCGCCGCAGACGCCAACGAGTGCCGAGCAGATCCAGAAGGTATTCAGCGATGCGGGCCTGCCCGATGGGGTCATCCAAGTCTTCCATAGCGGGTCTCTCACCCATATCGAGGCAATCGCCCGGTCTCCGCAGGTCCAACTTGTATGCTTCACTGGGTCAGTCGCCAATGGCCTTGCTGTGCAAACGGCTACGAATGATAGAGTGGCCGTTCGTGTTGGGCTCGAGCTTGGTGGCAAGGACCCCGCCTACATTCGATCCGATGTCGACGTCAAATGGGCCGCCGAGGAGATTGTAGATGGCGCAGTCTTCAACTCGGGCCAAAGCTGCTGCAGTGTTGAGAGAGTGTATGTTGATGAGAAGATCCACGATGAGTTTGTTTCAGCAATCCGAGAAGTTCTGAAGGGTTACAAGCTTGGAGACCCATTCGATTCCAAGACCCACGTTGGCCCTGTGGTCTCCAAACGGTCTGCAGAGGCAATCCAAGCCCACATCAAAGATGCCCTCGAGAAAGGAGCAAAGGATGAGACGCCAGAGAACGAATCTTTCAAGTCCCCTCCTGCAGACGGCAACTACGTTGCTCCAACTCTTCTCACTGGCGTAAACCATGACATGGCTGTCATGACTGAAGAGACTTTCGGTCCGATTATTCCTGTCATGAAAGTAAAGGACGACACAGAAGCCATCAAGCTCATGAATGACAGTCAGTTCGGCCTAACTGCTAGTATCTGGACCAAGGACGTTGCCAAGGGCCATGAACTCATCGATGATGTTGAAGCCGGAACTGTCTTTGTAAATCGTTGCGACTACCCTGCGCCTGTAAGTATATCAATTATACCATGAATGATTATGTTAACTCTAGCAGGACCTTGCGTGGGTGGGATGGAAAGACTCTGGAAAGGGACAGACGCTGAGCAAGTTTGGGTTTGACCAATTCGTGAAGCTAAAGAGCTATCACGTCAAAGACTATCCGAAATAGATTCCACTGCATGGACGGGTATGACCAGCTTTCTTCTTCGAATCACCTACACTTCCTCGCATGCCATTCCAAGCATATCAGATTTAATCTGACGATACTAGATTCTGCGGGTACGACATATGAAGGCGCGATCGCGAACTTGAGAGATGTATGACGAGGCAAATTATTGTAGACGTCAATTTCCCCTTCAAATCGCTGAAGTGGGACTAGGTGTCTCATGAATGCAGGCTTCTATGAAACCGGCAGCAAGGCAGAACATCTTTTAGTCGCGTCTCATGTACGCGTTTTGGTACCTGATGAAAGAATGCAAGTCATATGCAAGGTTGGTCGTACGAGTGCGACCTTCCGAGATACCACTTGCAACCTCAAAATTCACACCTCAGTCCGTCTTGAAATCTGTGCACTTCGCTTTCAATGTTCGATCTTATTTGGAACTGTGTCCATTCCCGGTTCTTTTCTTAAGCTACTCTCACGATGGTCGATAGCGATGCTAATGCCGTAAATGTACTAAACCGGTATTTCCTATCACCTAACATTCCAGCGACATATGTAGCCCCAATCTCTCTCATATCTTGCACCAAGGAATGAGTAGCGCTAATGTTTTCTCTAACGGGCAAGGAATGGGCGTCAAAACGTCGCGTGGTAACTCGACTCATCTCCATGGCACCACTTAAGATTCGTCTCATCTCATATCCCATCTCCTTTATATTCGCTTTCCCTTGCGAACCCCGTTCTGCTCCTTTACCTCCACCTATCGAACTTCGATGACTGTCGACATCTCGGTTTCTTCTTCTACTTCTCCACCCTTCCCGTCTTATTAGCTCTATTCGTGATTTTGTGCCGAGCGTTATTTCTTCGAGCGTGTTCTCCTGTCGTCGTATACCCATTCGTACAATTCTTTCTTCCTTTTCAACACTTCAAATTCAGTCACCTCAAGCAACAATGACTTTCAAGGATATCATGAGTAAGGTCGGACGCATAATGCTATGCGGTGGGAAGGACGAAAAAAGGCATTCGCTGGAGATTGTTAGGTTTCTTCTTCGTTAAAGAAGGTCGGAGGTTGCTTACATTGTGCTATAGGGCTCGCCAATGGACGTTCGGCATCTTGATGTGGGAAATGCCATGCCTGGTCTTTCGAATGATGAGTAGGTCGTTTTACTTACTACACTTCCCTTCCCTCTTTCAATGCCGGTCCCATAACACATCCATAGAATCAAGATGATCCGCGAGAAGTCCTCCCACGACGTCATCCGCCTCCTATCGCTGCAATCGCACCCGCCTACTCAGCCCTCTTCTCCCTCGACTCCCTTCCCACCATATCTCCCATGCGACCCTTCCTCGCAACCCCCCTCCCCCACTCCCTCCGCCACCCTTCTCAACAATGCCTCCGTCAACCTCCCCACTACTTTGCCAACCCCGCCCCCCCAAAAGCATAGCGACACGTCCCCGCCCTCCTTCCGCATGAAGAGCATGTGGGCGCGCACGCGCCGACTTTCAAGCCTGGGCTCGCATCATGGGGGGTATAAAGAACTCAACACTACAAAGGAGGGCGACGAGACAGGCGTGTTAATGGTAGATTTAGGGACAGATCAGGGGACAGAGTTGGATATAGATGTGAAGGAGGTGAAGTTGGAGAGCCCAGTCAGTAGGAAGAACACCTTGAGTTTGGATGGGTTCAAGTCGCAGGATACAGTTGGTGGAGCGGAAAATGAAGAGAAAATTCATGTTGTCAAGGGGGGTTCGAAGACGAAGACGAAGGAGATCTTCAACGATGATGCCGCAGAGTGCAGCAGCAGTGATAGTGGAGAGAGTTCTGCTACGGTTGTAGCGATCGCGGAACGCTCGCCGCTCGTCAGGGCTTGAAGGAGTAGCCGAGTGAGTGTAGAATGTCTTAAAAGCCTCACTATGAAGAGTTGTAATAGGTAATACGAGGCTTTGTGATTCTTTGCCCTGGCTTGCAATGTAAAAGTTAGACTTTCTATTACTTTAGTTCTCAGGACACGATTGTACGAGTGATACTAGACATACATTCATACTATCTAGCTCAAATAGTTAACAAGAGATATGAATAAATTTGGAGGGAAACGTTTCCAAGTGGTTGACATTTTGGCTCATACGTGCTAGTTGCTGCATATACATTCGTGGGCGATCAATTCCGACTTCCCTTTTCATAGATAAGATAGAACGCCCTTGCTTCACATACATAACTTCTCCTAGCATCAGACCTTGTTGATTTTCTACTCTGTCGCTACAAAATAGCTTGCACTAGCATCAAAAAGGCAACAGCTTAATCGAATCATGCCATTGCTTTGACATCATGATACTCATCTATCGCGGTCTCTGTATATTATAGAACTAGATCTAGTGAGACTGCTGAATATCATATAATCTTACAATCAAATTTGATCTCTATAGCGATTGTATTGCCCTCTTACTATTTTTCAAGGCGCTTGGCTTGTTTGAGAATATATTTCGACAGGAAAATCCTGAACAGAGCGTGATCGAAGGATATTCGGTCGTATGTCTGCTCGGTCTTAACAAAAAGATGATAATACGAACACATCTTCTACATAAGTATCTGCCTATCGATTGTTATCTTTGTAAATAACTACTGTGTTTACATTGCTCATCTATTTCAAAATAGTCAGCGATCGAAGTAGGACTTATCGCTATCAGTGCCACTTTTGATGAGACTCCGAGTTGACCACTCCTGTCATGATATATTTTTAAACAGCTAGAGTATGCTCTCCTCAAGAAGGAAAGATAGCCGTCTGGTCTCGGTGACAAAGTGTAGCTGGGGAAAAAACGTGAAACCTAGTATGAAATGCGGTGAAGTTGTCGTCATCTAGAGTTGCCTTGTATGCTACTCGATCAGACACCATGATTACTGTGTTCTTTCTTATACCGCTTGTACATTCTATGTGATTGATATACTTATGTGGCATACGTAAATATGAAAGTCCTTTCCTGTCTCCCAATTAGGATGCCCGCCTCAATCGTCTCCACCGCCTTCTCCACTCTTCTCCACTCTTTCTTCCTTTCAAAAATTTGCCTCGTTTGCCTTTTTCCTTCTACTGATACCTCTCAGTTACCTTTTCATTACTGTACCTATGTCGCCTAATTTTCCAAACCGCACAATTCACATCAAGAGCTCTCAAGTTCAACATCACAGCACCAGTGGTTTAGTGGTAAAATTAGCCGTTGCCATCGGCTAGCCCCGCGTTCGATTCGCGGCTGGTGCATCAATGTCCTTCTTTTTGCTATTTTCGAGGCGTTCAGTGCGATTCTTAGCGAAGGGGACTAGCGGAAGCTTGTAAATCATTTTGAGGCATGAACTTCATTTTGATGAGAGGAACACATATGAAGTGATTTACGTAGAGTTTCGAGTAGCATACGCATGGATTACGATTTGCGTTCTTTCTTTTGTCGTACAGATATCAAAAAATGAAACTCAGCCCTTACCTAGTTCTTCTACGCTACGTTTTGGAATATAGTTTGGAAACCAGCCAGAAACCAATTAATCGCAGGCTGTAGGAGGCGTTTCCCTAATTAAATATCGGCGCAGTGAAGAGAATAACAGCAAGTTGCGGAATTTTTGCACGCTGCACTTCATATCCGTTCTACGACCATAGTGATATGCTTTTTAAGTAGGTAGCAGTAGGTTAGCCCTAGATTCAATAACATTAGAACGAGTACAAATTGATTACAAGTAGTTCCCGCCCAACGCACTACATCTCCTTTTTGGCTCTGCGAAGACCTTCCAATGATATGCTTTCAAATGCACATATTTCCCGAAACAACGCTGATGAGTCTCATTTTTTACCAACTGCACCGGCAACCGCAACTAAATTCCCATATTTGAGCGTGCTCAGAGTAGCTGAGGCTTGTGCCTCGGATGGGGAAACAGTAAGAATCATGGCAGATAGTCCCCCTCTTGAGCCGAGGAAATGGCTTCGCAACACCATGGTCAGAGGCGAAGATCGAAACGGGATGCGAGCGTGATTCAAAGCGCAAGCACGTATAACCTCCTTTAAGGCGAAAAGGTCTGCATTGATCTGACGCCCTTGTTGCCGCTCCTGTGATGTCTGCTTTGGACCGACCACCGAAGCGTCATTCCCTTGGACAAAGTACTCTGACCCTGCAAGGTCTACAAAGACAAATTTGCCTCCAAGGCAAGAATGTTGGCAGCTTTTGAAGCACTCTACAACAGCGGCTTCAGCTAGCTGCAGGCGAGTCTCGTATTCACTTTTCTCAGCTTCTGCGGCATCAATTCGTCCTTGATTAATTGTGTGGTCCGGATTTCTTGTGTATTTTCCCTCGGGAGTCTGAATGTATGCGTTTTTGTGCTCTTCTAGGTGTACGTCCGTGGCACGCTTTCCTACAGGAACTAATTCGGATTCTCGCTCAATGACCGCGTCGCGCGCATCAAGAAGCGCTTTGTTTACAACCTCGAACTCGAGGATGGCGTGGGTGCGAGAGCTCTCATCGTGCACCGAAGATGATCCAGTTTTTCTCATTTCCAACCCAGCTCGCAGTTTGCTGTGTAGCTCTTCAATGGTGCAGCAGGGGTGTGCAACGATTGGACGGACCCTAACTTTCCCGTCTTCTAAAACCTCAGTTTTGCCTCGAATGTGTGTCTGTCCGTCGGGGCCTTCGCGGACATGACACTCGGCATTGTTATTGAAGAGATCAACAGCAAGTTTCCCCCGTATTTCGTAGAGACGAACTGCTACTCCCAAATCTTGTTCGCTGTTGCCTTGTCCTGTTCCACCCCCCAGTTTGATGTTGATTTCATCAAGTGCTCGAAAGAGGTCTCGTGATGCAGATAGAGCTAGTCCAAGCTGTTCGTCGACTTCATTGTTGTATCCTATGATCGTATGTGTTTTCCCGCTGCCGGAATGGCCATATGCAAAGAAGTTGCAGGTAGCTCCATCCATGACTCGAGGTAATGTAGGCGCCACCACACCCTCAAAGACACTACTGTTCATAGCTCCGGCTTCAAACACTTCGGTGAAGGAAGCCCCGCTCTTCCAAGTTCGTGGTCGATACAAATGTGGTTCGAATGAAAGCGATATGGAATGCGTTGACTCATACTGATCAACGCTGCGTCCTATCTCTGCTGTAGATGATTCGTTTGGACTTAGAGGTCTCCATCTGACGTATGTCTTAAAATGAGAGGACTGAGAGTGTTGGTGAGACATGAGAGTTGGATGAATGCCTTAGGCGTCAATATGGCCGAACCAATGGTAGAATCTAGCGTCCTTAAGAAGGTACTTAATACTGCTGCCTGTTTCCTATCACATGATCGCGGGGTACTTCATTTCAAGCTTTGGGCCTCGGGTGGGTCTGCGCCCGTTACGAGGTTAGACTTCGTCTTGGTGTCCAAGCGAGATAGGGGCATTAAAAGTGTCGCCTACGAATTCGACCTTCAATAACTACAGTGAACTTTCTCTTCACATCTACCCTTGAAAATGTGCTATCTTTTAAGGATCACGCGTTAGGAAAAATGATAGAATTTCATCCAGATCAAGTGAGGAACCGACAGCTACAAGTACATCCATTAACTCCTGTGGTTGTTGTCAAAAATTATATTTTGCTGTCACGTGCGTATCGGCCCGGGCGCTCACCAAGAAAAGTGTTAGAAATGAAGAATATGATAGTTAGTGCGGCACTGGCACGATACCGAAGTCTACTTTTAATTCATTCAGACGAATGTATTTGGTTATTCAGATTATGTTATGTACTGAACCTTTCTCAGTTGGTGAAATCAGACACATTTTCGTTAGTATTTTATTAATCGACTGTCTATGTTACGCTAAGAGTGGGGAAAAGGAAGAGAGGACGAGAGGTAATATACGAAATCTTAAAACAGTGCGGAGCCCTACCTAAGCAGCTCTATAGTATACAGTACCTTCTAAATGGGTGTGATGCCATGTCTTATACTTTCCAAGTGGACGCGTTTACTTTAAAAACAGAACATTGAAGCAATTTTGAAGTATAACCCTGGGATTTTGAGTTCCTGTGTCCTCATATGGGTTTTCCATACAATGCCGACGTTTTGGCTTCGAAAGTGATCGCAAGGAGTAGAGTAGCTATCCTACGACTAATTTAATTCATCAACCTCTTCCACGAACTACCTGCCTAGACTATTTGCAGTAAAAATCTGTGACAATGAAGGGACTTATCAAAAGTAGTGGTATCTAGCCCAAAAAAAAAGGAAATACTAAAAGTTGGAGAGTACGAATACAATAAGAAAATTGTTGAAGTCATGATATACACGTCATCCATAGTGTCCGTATCCCTATTCCAGTGTGGTGTGGTATCTCAAACCAAAATGATAGTCCTCGCTATGCTGCCATCCGTTCCGCTCAAGTCCCAATCATAAAACGCTACGCTCGCTATGCCGCTCCAACCAACCTAGAGAAAGAACCAAAGAAAAGAAAGAAGAAAGAGACGGCAATCAATACCTCGACCCAACTTGCCTTGAACCCTCCGGCCTTGCAACAACCGCAATCTCCTCAGCATCTCCATCTTCATCACGATCAATCCACGAATCATCAACAGTCGCCGCCGTCTTCTCACTCCCCATGCCAACCGACCTATTCGCAGAACTTGCCTTGCTGCCCAACCTCTGCGCGCCGTTCCCAGCACTCCACCCCTGCCTCCTGACAAAAGTCCTCAAACTAGGCAGACAAATTGCCAAAATGCTCGACACGATCTCTACCAACGCCCACACATCGATCGTATGCGTGATCTCTGCCTTCGGTACGTTTTGTACGAGCTTAAGCGTGATGAAGCGCACGAGTGCGGCAACGATGGAAACGCTACCCATGAGGAAGACGAAGGCGAGGCCCGCGCGCTCAGTCTTCCCGAGCTGGGTCGCGAGGAGTGTGGATATGGGGATGGAGAGGATGACAAGGTCGGTCGCGACGTTTGTGAAGGTAGAGATGGTAACGCTGGAGATGCTGTGAACGGCAGAGCAGAGATGTTGGCCCGGCGGGGGGCTCCAGTTCAGCGAAACCGGCGAGCACCAGAAGGCGATTAGGAACATGTGCAGGAGGAAGGTGGCAGCCGTGAATACGCATGCTATGGCGAGAGTAATGCGGGCTCGCTTGCCTTGAAGCGAGAAGATGGAGTAGTAGAACGCGAGGAACGCAGCCTTGGCCGACCATAGCGAGATGTAGATGAAGAACAACGAGATCCAAGACACGTAGAGGAGATGCCCGGAGAGGTTCTCCGGCACACCGTAGTAAAGCGTTTCTGGGGGTGCGGAGAGGTACTTCATGCGGAGGTTATTCTTCCACGTATTTATGGATATGAGGACGCAGCCCGACGCCCACGCCAGCGCCACAAAGCCATCTGCGATGTTGGAGGCTAATGAGTTGAGCCCGTGATTTCGGGTTCGGAGCGAAAGGCGCACGATGATGGGGATGAGGGCGAGAGTCATGAGAGACCAGTCCAGAGCGATGAAGCCCGCTGAGGCACAAGTTAGTATCGTAGTTCAGGACTAGCGAGGATGGCGGCTCTTACGAAGCGGGAGATGAATGTCTGTGTAGACCATGGTGTCTGATTATGAGAGACGGTGCAGGACAACGTTTGGTTATGGTGGATGACAACCCTCTTAGTGCCTGCTGATAGAGCTGCGGACTTGTTCTTGGTAAAGATCTCCACCGCTAAGTAAGGTCGGAGGGAGTATATAACAGTGTAGAGGGGACCCCAAATTCGACGACGCAAAGGAATAGGCAAGGGAGATGAATGTCTTGGATGTTCAGTGATGACAACTCAGACCTGATCATGACAAAAGGTCTTCAACCCGTCGCTCCGGGTCCATATATGCAATCCCACACAATGTAGTACAACTGTCAGAAGCACGGTGGTCTGGGTTCCATTCGCGGTGTCCGCACCGCCCACCTCTTCGCAGCTTCAGCCTTATCCCGCAAACAGTACCCTCCCGTGCCTCCCTAGCTCTTCCAAACTCCTCCGTCTCCAATCACAGCCAGCCATCTGCATGTCAGCACTTAAGCTTTCTCATCCTTACCTCATGCACCTTAGCATTTCTAATCCTGATTTGACAGCCCTCGTTAAACCTAGGTCGCGAGCACCTTAGCTCTCATCACGGCTTCAGGTAAGCAGTTTCTCTGTAAGTCAGCACAGAAATAGACCACATCCCTGTCCTCATCACCACTCCGGTTTCCTCGCCTGACCCTGTTAGCCACACCCATTTCCGCAAATGACCCAGCTT